AAGCTGTCTGGAGATGAACCTGGAAACCCCAGGGAATCCAAGGGCACCAATGTGCTTGTCACGGCTGCTGAGGCCAAGGGGCGCCATCTGTGATACCATGTGGTACTTCTCTGACTGCAGTGCTAAAGGCTGCCCCAGGGGTAAGAAAGCAGAGTCTGAGATAGCACCTGCAGAGCAGACACTGGTGGAGGCCCATGATCCAGAAAGTGCCCTGCGCTCCCGTGGTGCCAAGATCCTGATGCCAATGGTAATCTTGATGACCGAGTACAAGGCCTGAAGCTTCTGGTAAGCAGGCTCCTCTGGTCCCTTAAAGTGCTATGAGTGCTTGATGGACAGCATTGAAAAGGTGAACTCTGGTGCCAGGACACAGATCTAGACTAGTACAAGTGGGTACAGAGACCAGAGCTACTCAGCGCCAGACAGTAGCAGCACTGAGGGAAGCAGAGTTGCAAAGAGAGCAAGTAGTAGAGCTTGGTGAGGTGAGAACCGTATGGGGAATCTCTCTCTCTACAATATCACCGCAGCCGTAGAGCATGTGCCTCCAAAAAGGCCTGCGCTCCAAAATATGGGACGCCAGTGACTCGGCATGACTTTGTGGGGAGACCTGTACTATCCCCGTAGGACAAAAGGGGGGCCTCCTGTCCAGGCATACCGATGAGCACAAGTGTTGTGTGCTCAGAGACGAAGTTGTAAGCTGCAACTTCCCCCCTGTGACTGGGCACAGTCAGCTCCGCTGACAATGGTACCAGCATGGTGAGAATGTTCCACCTCTGGCATGGATGTGGGCTGTACATCCAAGGCAGTCAGCAGTGACTGGGTCGGACTGGGGCTATCTGCCTGCACCAGGTATTTGTCCTTGGAACATTCCAACACACAGTCCCCTTTCTTGGCCTTTTCCCTTCAAACTGAAGGGCCGTCCTTGGCAGCCTTCTTAGGCTTGGTACCTAAAAACACCTGAGTACAGTTCTTGCTGCACTAAGGAAGACTCCATGAGGACTGCACTTAAACACCCCTCTCTCTTACTTCCGTGTGGTGAAAAGAAGTGCAAATTTTGCACGTGGAGGAAATATGGGATTCACACAAACAATGAAGGCACGTGGGTCACTAACTAGCACAGGCCTGCGACATGCAGCACAGACCGCCTGCCCAGCACCCAGGCTGAGTCCCAACCAGGGACTAACTGTTAACTGCTCTATTAATGCTAAAAGGTAAATATTTACAATCAAACAGTGGGAATGACCAATGCTACAGCTAAGTCTGGAGCAAAGTGTTCCAAGCATCAACATTGGCAGCAAAAGGAAACTGAGGAGGGAGAGGCCTATATTGAGCGGCTTGTATCAGGTCCCTCCAGGTACGGCTGAAGGAAAATCTTCCGGCACCAATGCACATGGTGAGCACGCATACCTACGTTGAATGGACATGAGCAAGCATTCGAAGAAGAAAAATGTAATATTGTACATTACCATTATGGTTTGCTGTATGCTTCTTTTCCATATACGTATGTTTGAAATCCTAAATGCTCTCAGACACTGAGATAATGGTTTGAGTTTCCATTTGTCACCCTCAGATCCCTGTCTGAAAAGCATTCTGAAGTTTATGGCTCATTTAAGGAAGAAAAACATTTTATACTTTTAGTGCTGTTGTATTTACATTTTTATATTAAATGACATGAAGTGTTAATTTAATAGCCCACTGGAAAGTGGACTAATGGTACTGGCAAAAGAGTCAGGTATAGTGAAATCTTTTATCAATGCCCCACAATATTGATCTATATATCAAAGAAATCTCACTTTTAAACCTCTACTCAATGAAGACTGTACATCATGTCAAGTTGTGTAGTGGTTTTGCATAGGGATGTACCCAATTAATCGGCAGCCCAGCCCAGCAGGAGCAGCCGCCCACCTGTGGGATACAGTTAAGCAGTTAACTGATTAAACAGGATTTTACAACCCTAGTTTTACAGTGTAAAAATATACTCTTTTGGAGACTAAGATTTCCAACTAGTTAGGCAGATGATTGGCAAAATAAAAATTGTTGGGCAGAATACTCAGCAAATTTAAATTAGTAGTAATTCAGACACCACTGTTCTCTCTCATTCCAATGGGTGTTAAGCGGAATCGAGGGATGGGCTGTGGCTGCCTCCTGATTGTAGCATGAATAGACACAGGGCACATAACATACATGCCTCCAAAAGACATTTCTAATCCAAAGAGTCCAATCTTACAAAGATGAAACACATATACAACTACACTGGAATCTATACCAACACATACTTGAAGATCTGATTATCCTAAAATGACCTCTGGAATTTGGATAATGGCTCAGTGTTAAGTAACTTCTATACATACCAAATATCCTCTAAGGTACTTTTTAGGTGGAAAACAGAGAGATACAGAAAAGTTATATCTTGTTGCTTACTGCATATCCAGGGCTGAATTAATCACACTGATTCCAAATCAATAGCTTCACTCACCAAACATAAATAAAACAAGTCTCCTGAATTACCTACAATTTGCTAGACTTTTCTGAATTGTCTAACTTCGTTATATAAAAGAGCTCACTGAAGAACCCTAAATTTTTAAATTAAAAATGGTTAAATCAACTCATTGCATTTCATCTGATGAAGTGGGTTTTACTCATGAATGTTTATGACCTAATAAATCGGTTAATCTCTAAAGCCATGTGTCTATACTGGAGAGTTAGTTCAAAATAACTCCACTTATTTCAAAACAACAAGGCAAACCTCCACACTACCAAGCCTGTTATTTCAAAATAATGGGATGATTATTTCAAAGTAACTCCTCCTCCTTGTGTAGAAGAATAAGCTTACTTTCAAATAGTTATTTCAGGAGTAGTTATTTCAAAATAACCTAGTAGTGTAGACATAGCCAAAGGTGTCACATGACTTCTTGTTGTTTTTGCAGATACAAACAAACATGGCTATCCCTGAGACTGTTGATACGAGGTAAATTGTGACTCTCTGATATGAAAGAGTCACTCATGAAGCATACCCTAGGTTGCTTTTCATTACATTAGGTAAATGAGCACTAACTGGACACATGAAAAAAATCAACTTTTTACAAGATTTCTGCATACATTTTAGATGTTGACACTATTATAATAAAAATAATAATAAATAAGGTGTATCATTAATGACTATTCTAAAAACAATGCCTCAATATATTGTTAATAAAACTTTGTTCTTTGGATAGAAAGCACCGTAAAAGTGAGATCCCAAAGTAACTTACAAATATCACTGAATAAAGTACTGTAGCACCCTCATGAAACAGACGTCAATTCTCTGGATTTTACATATATAGAAAAATAAGCACAAAGTTATTTAACTTATTTTTCTTTATTTTTTTCATATTTTATTTTTGTATTTTGATTTAACTTATTTTACTCCTCTAAAGTAAAAAATGCTATCACAGAACTTGCAATAGAACTTGGGAGTTCCTGGGATCTGTGCTTTATAGAAACACTGTCAACTTAAGTTTTCTAAATTAACTAAAGTTTTAAGATATTCTATTTTTGGATACAGTATTATTAAAAATACATTCTCTTTTGTTGCTATTTTATGTTACTTTTTAAAGAAGGAAAATCCAAAAGCAGCAATCCAAAAGCAGCAATGCCTTCCTCATCCTCATCCTTCCTGCTTTGTGCATATTCCTGCCTACTGAATCTTCTGCTTCAGCTTCACAATCCAGGAGAAGGGTGTGCATCAATGCAGTGAAACCAAGTACTATAGAATGTCAAGGAAAACAGTCTGGGAAGAGTTTCTCTCTCCAAGTAATATTAGTAACAACAGTAGTTATTAATTGTTCAAATGGAATTGAACTTGATAATGTCCCTTTAACCTCAAAATCATTCTATTTTTAAGTTCTCCCACCCTTAAAGTTCCAACTGTGCTGCTTTTAATTTCTTTATTCCTACAAAATAAAAGACTTATTGAATGTTAATCAAAAGGGGTCTCCTCAAGTCTGGAGGAGGAAAAGAATTATCCCCCACACTCTGAGAAGCACTTTAAAATGCAGAAAAATCAGCTCAAGTAATAAATAGCTAAAATCTATCAGGCCTATCAGTTGTCACTTTAGTTAAATAACATTACTGAAATCTATTTTATAGGACACAAAGATAATCTACCCAAATGTGCACATACGTAAATACAGCCAAACCCTACACCACAAGACTTGATACTCTTCTCCATTATATGACCCTAAATTGCAACATCTGATGTGAGCTCTTCTGATCTCTACTACCTAAACCAAACTCGTGTTCTGTATTCATTAGGCAGACAAAACCAACTAAGGGTGCATCTACACAGCACCCTAAACTTGAAATAAGATACACAATTTGCATAGTGGAAATTGCATATCTTATTTCAATTTAATTTTGAAATCGTGTATTTCAAATTTTGGCATGTCTACACAGCACCAAATTTTGAAATAATGCGCTATTTCGAGACATCCCTTAATCCTCGTGGAATGAGGGTTACAGAGATGCTGAAACAGCATGTCCACTATTTCAAGACCTATCTTAAAATAGTGGACGCATTCAAAAGACACGGGGTAGCTATTCTGGGATATTTCGAGTATCCCAAAATAGCCCCGCTGCGTAGACCTACCCTAAGATAAGCAAGCCAATTTGCAATGCAACTCACTACAGACTAGGGCTCCAATTTCTCAAAACTCTTTCTAGAAAATACATTAAAAACTGAATAAAGATTACGGAGATTTGTAAGTTAAAGTAAATTCTGTTTGTCCAAGTTAGGACAAGCAAAATAGTAACTGGCTGCAAGGGATATTACAAAAACTTCTGTACATCACATTCAAAAACAGGTTTTAGAAATATGGGTCAAGTTTTGGAATTCAGAGTCACATTTATGGATATTTTCACTCCAGCATTTGCACTACTAGTTTATTAAATCAATAGGACTACCCAACTCATATTATTGACCTTCCTATGTTAAAATGCTAATCAAATTGTAGACCTTTGCACACCTGAAGACTGACAAAATCCTGTGTTGGAGGATAGCATTAGGCTTTCAGTCACTGGCTTAATCTTCTGCTCATCACTGCTTCCGTCATCTGAATTCTGGTCATCATTTTCTTCTTCATCTGATGAGGAGGAACAGGTGATGTCTTCCTTCTGTTTCTTAGAAATTCTTTTTTTCTCTTTAAAGTTAGCCTTTTTATTCTCTTTAGCAGACCCCTTTTTACTCTTCTTTTGGTCTTCATAAGGCTCCTCATCAGAAGAGGATGAGTCATTCTGTTCTTTCTTGGAAGTTTTCTTTTTGTGGCTTACTTTTTTCTTTTCTTTAGCTTCCACTCTTTTTTTATTTCGTTTAACATCTTCAGAAGAACTCTCCTCTTTCTTTGGGGATTTATCAGCATCTGAAGATGAATCATTCTGCAACTTCTTTGATATTCTCGCTCTCAAATTTCTCTCTCTTTTTTCCTCAACAGCCACTTCATTTTTACTTTTATTTTCAGAGAAAATGCAACTCTCTTTCCCCGGGGATGATTTATCTCCATCAGAAGAACCACCATCTTTTTCTTTCTTGTAACTTTTCTTTTTCAAATTTTCTTTTACTTCTGTTCCTTTTTTATTTTTGGTTTTGTCTTCTGAAGAATCACAACTCTGCCCCTTCTCAGTTCCATCCAAAGAAGAATTGTCCTGTAATTTTCTCTTTTTCAAATCTCTGTTCTTTTCTTTTGCTTCTGCTCTCTTTTTATCATCAGAAGAATGGCAACTCTCCTCTTTCTCTAAAGATGATTTCTCAGTATCAGATGTTTCATCATGCTTCCCCTTTGAAGTTTTTTCTTTTAAATCTCTGTTTTTTTCACTGACTGCTGTCCCCTTCCTAACTTTATCATCAGAAGAATGACTTGTATCCTCTTTCTCTGGGGATGATATCTCACCATCAGATGATTCAACCTGCTGCTTCTTCAAATTTATCTTTTTCTTACTAGTAGATCCTTTTTTACTCTGCTCACTTTCAGAAGAATCATAATTCTCTTTTTTTCTGGGGTATTTCTTTTTGGCTTTTTTTGCAGACTCTATTTTACTCAACCTCTTTATCTCTCTTTCTAACTCTGAATCATAATTGGAAGAATCTGAAGGGTTCTGTCGTTTCTTCTTTGCAGAAGTGGAAACTTTAGCTGATTTGCCTTTTTTGGCATCTAAATCCGAACCAGAAGTGGAACTTTTTCTTTTGCGTTTTCCATTCTCATACTTCAATGGTTGTTTTGTTAGATCATTAAAAGCATTCTTCTGAACATTACTGTATGTTTCACTATTGCTATCAATATCTGAGGAACTATGACTCAACATAGCTACATTTTTAAGGACTGCTGGCATCTCATCTGAACCTGAACTTTGTTCCAATAGGTCTGATTGTTTGGATTTAGAAAGCTTATTAGGTTTAAGATGATCAGTAGTACTGTCAGAAGAATTTCTTTTATCTTTTTTTCTCCTTGACTGGGTTGATGATTTTTGCTTGCGCTTTTCACAATACGCATCATTACTGTCCTCTTCTGAATTAGATGTTAAAGGATTTGTGTCTGTTGGACGCCTCAGAGGTGTGGTCTTCACACGTGGGGACCTCCTGAGATCAGATTCCTCTATAAAGGGGACACTTATATTTTCAGGTGAGTGTTCATTACCAGTGTAATGATTTTCTTTTCCAGAATCACAGTTTTCTGCCTTGGGTGTCACCTCTGCATTCTTCTCTCTCTTTACTGGATTATTGTCTTGATCTTCAGCTTTAACTGGAGAATCAGAAAGGGAGACAGGAGTCAGTTTTACAAACAATTCTTTTCTTACTTTAGCTGATGATTTTAACTTAGTACCTCCTTTAATGTCTTTTGAAAGCGTAGTACATTTTATATTCACATTTACTGTCTCCAACTCTGTTGCTGTATTTCCATCACCCTGTTCATCAGATGCACTCTGAGTTTCCATAGCTGATTCTAGAGTCTCAAAAATATCTTCAGGGACTGATGAAGGAACAGACACAATATCCATGTCTAAAGCCTCAGTACTATTTGGTTCATACTGAGGTGCTTCTTTTGTCTCAGACTCTTTATCTTCACTGCTAATATTCTTTTTTTGTGTTGATGGAACATTTTGGTCCATAGGCTCGTTGTCAGGCTGTTCTGACACAGCTTTTTTCACTGACTTTACAACATCCTCTTTCAACTCTGCATGTTCCTTCCTTTCATCTCTTTTCACCTCATTTTTTTCTGGTTTAATATCAGGGGTTTTTTCTTTGGTATTCTTCTCTTTGATTTTAATATCCAAAGCTTGAATCTCTCGAGTCAGACCTTCTTCTAATGCTAAATGAGTTTTTTTTATGTCACTCAACACAGATTTAAAAGCTTTCAGTTGACGTAGCTGTATAGTAGGGTTTATTTCTGAATTTTCTGCTGCTGTTTTCAAAAAACTTACAAAACTAGCATTCATATTAGTTGTGGTCTCTACAAGTTTTTTTGTCTTTTTAAGCAAGTCTTTTGGCACCACTAGTGCTTTATAGGAATAGGTTAAAGAACCAGAATATGAATCATCTAATTTCTTTTCTTCTCCATTACAATTCGAAATATTTCTCTTTGGAGAAAATTTAAGTGTATGATCATATATTTTACTTTTTTCACTCTCAACTTTGATCTTCTTTTTGTTTTGTTGCAATAACTGTTCTAAATTTTCAAAAACACTGTCACATGCAGTGACCAAGTCCAACAAAGGTTCTGGGTGGCAAATGTAGCAATGCCATTGGTTATTTTCATCCATTATGGCTGACAGCTCCTTTCGGCCCAGGTTCCGCAAAATGCACTTTTTGCAGAAGGCATTATGGCAAAAGTCACAGCAGATTAAGTTTCCACCTTCAGCACACCATCTGAAATTATGATTGGGACATGTTAAATGCTACCCCAAAACAAACTGCATTAATTGTTCAGAAAAATAAAGTTTAACAAACAACTTTAAAAATTTGATTTAAACAGTCATAATATTAAAATGTAGTTACTAATCAAAGGCAAAAGCTTCACTTCAAAAGATGGCAAGCAGATATTTACTAATTTAGATTATTAAAGCATAATAATTAATAAAAGACTTTGAAAGGCAGTAGATTAAAATGTTCAGCTAGCTGTTCAGAAAAGTCAAATATATTTCCAAAAACCCTTGCCCAGCCTCCATACATTAGCAGGAGAACAGAAAATATTACCACATGAAAGAAACTTAAAGTTTTCCCCATTCAGTACAAGAACTACAAGAGCACTGTCTTTGGTTGCAAAATGATATAACCTGCACCTCCCTTTCTCACCTACATCACAGATACAGAGCTATTGAGGCCCATTTTGGAGGAGTTCATAAGGTACTGGGTGGGGAGTAAGGTGTCCTGAGCCATGAATACCCAGTGTATATAGGAGGAACACATTCTTTTTTAAACACATCTGGAACTCAGTTTGTGACCAAGACTGGAAAGTAACAGGACAGAATAAACCTATTCTTGGCTTACCAGACACAGCTGCTCGACAGATGCAAAGTTCTGAGTGGACTGTATCTTGACACTAATATGAGACAATGTAGCCTCTGACTGACAACATAAGAGCAAGTGAAGGTTTTAGCTTCCACCTTTTATTATAAATTTTTGTATTGGTCTATAAACTGCAAACCCACTAAATATAAATATAAACATATGTTTATATTTTAGTAAGTTTGCAGTTTATAGACCAATATATCACATTTTCTCTGGGACAGTTAATTTCCATGGCCCATTGCTATCTAGGGGATAACGAACAGAATCTGCTCATTTACAATGTGGTGTTGCAAACTATACATAAACTGATGTTTGGGGTTTAGTCATGTGATGTGTGACTTTGACCAACAGGGATAATTACTTGATTTCCTTATGTTTTCCTAGTTTGTACTAAAATTTAAAATTCAAATACCATAATATTATGGGTCTGCTGATTGCAGAGTGACATTTCATAACTGATTTAATTCATTAGGGTAATATCACAGAGGCGTTTACATACTTACCTGCACTGTTCATCCATTCCATCTGAATCACGGCTAATGTCATCGCTCATATAATATTTGAAGCAAGTCTGCAAGGAAATAGTTGGACAAAGAATTTTTTCAGTTCAAGTCAGATGCAATTTCATCTAATGAATACATTAAAGTCAGACTCTTAAAAAATGTTTTTAGAATTTCAGATTACAGTCTATAAATGAACACTAGAAACCTCTTTAAAATGTTCTCTCCCATTTTTACCTACAGTTTACAAATCTGAACCTAATCTTGGCTAAAATTTCCAAAGATACAGCAGCTTTTAAACAATGACACTTCTGAACAATGGTACAGGACTTATTTGAAAATTAAATATATTTGCCTTCTTTTGAAGGCCACAGGTTTTTCATATTATAATACTTACAAGTTGAATATTGCTTTTTATATTCAGTTAAGGTCTACGCTTATGTATAAATAGCTACATTGGTGAGGAGTGTTAAAAAACCCAAAGCCTTGACAAACACAGCTAAACCAACAAAACCCTCAGTGTAGCTGCAGCTATGTTAATGGAAGTGGGCTTCTAATGTCACTTGGAGAAATGGTGTTCCCCCACAAAAGAAAAATTCTTTTGGAGTAGGTATTCTGTATAGTTACAGCAAAGACAGATGATTCAGAAATTAACAAGAAATGCCAGAAAATAGGAAAACTTCCACATTATGAGATATTGAAAAATCTCAAACTATTTACCTTAGTTAGGACACTAATAATACAGGCACAGAAAATAATGAAAGAATTCTTGATCTGATCCCTTCTCATCTATTTATATATTTTAGAGATGTGTGTCTGTAAATCTGTGTCTGTGAGGGAGTCTGTTCAATAACTCCTAAACTGTAAGAGCTAGCAATACCAAATATGGTAAGCCACTTCCTCTTATCCTGACAAAGCAAGGTCAGCATCTGGTTGTGCCAAGAAAACAGGAAGTGCTGGGACTGGGACTATTTTCCATAACATGCAAAGGGAAAGGCACAGAGAGGAGGCATGTGATACTGGGAGTGACCCACAGGGGAGAGCTATACTGCAGAAGGACCACGGGGGGCAGTCACACCACCAAGCAACTAGCCAACAGGAATGGGGGCTTTACTATCTTACCTGCCACCAGACCAGGTAAATAGCCCCCTCTGCCCCAAACTCCCCAGCACTTGGCCACATCCCCTGATGGCTGGGAGAGCTGAGGGGGGAGATGGGGAAGAGGCAGAAGACCCATGCCAGTAATGGAGGCAAAGACAGAAGGTCCATGCCAGCCAGGGAGAAGTGGTGGAAGGACTGAGGAGTGAGACAGAAGACCTAATAACCAGTATAATTCGCTGCCATAAGACAATCAAAATTGACGAGTTTTGGAAAGGATTCAGAGCTCTCCTGGAGTTTGGAAGCAACACTCCTTGAGGACAAGTTATTCTGTAGCTACTTTCTATAGAATATTTGTAATTTCATCAAAGGCAGTTGGTACTGGTCCTCTGACAGAGTCAGGATACTGGACAAGACGGACCTCAGTTCAAATCCAGTGTGTCAATTCTTAAGGATATAGTGATCAACTAAAATACCAAAAATCCAAATATTGCCGAGAACGCAAACCCTTATATGCCACTCCAGGAGCTTGAAGGCACTGACACAACAAGACAAGGTTGAATTTAAGCCACCCTCCTTCAAAGGCTTTCACATATGGACATGATGGAATGGACATGGCCTGGAGATGATCTACCCATAGTGGTCAGTGCTATAGAATTCTGGACTGTAGCACAGCCCATATATAGCCAATGGGAAAGCTGCCATAAGTTAGAAGGGACTAAGTTGTTACTCTAATTTATATCAGGGCTGTTTGAGCCCCAAGCAGCTGCCTAATTCCAATGGTGCAAAGAAGCCTCTGAAGTCATTTTTTCTTCCTCACCTGGGTTCTGAGCCTTCTGTGCTATGGCTCTTAGGAGAAGCAGACTATGACCTGGAGCCCCTTATAGCACATAAAATTGTGGCAATTGTCTATTGAGATACTATCTCACTGGCTAGGGCTGTAGTCCAACCAAGTGCCAAATTCAAGTGTCTGTACTTGACATTGGGTGGCCGGGATAGGTTGGGTATGCTGCTTGTGTACCACCCACCTCACTCTATGGCAGATGCTCTGCTCGAGCTGGCCGACGTGGTCTCGAGGTGGCATTGAGGACGCCGAGGCTTTTGGTCTTGGGGGACTTTAATATCCACGCCGAGGCTGTTTTGTCTGGTCTGGCCCAAGATTTTATGGATACCATGACCCACCCTAGGATTATCCCAAGAAATAAGTGACCCAACACATGTTGCAGGTCATACGCTCGATTGGTTTTTTGGACTAAGGGAGATACAGTTCTTGGGATAAGGGATATGGCTACACTCCCTTTCTCATGGACTGATCACTACCAGGTCAAGTTTAGACTATCTGCTGACCTTCCCCTCCACAAAGGGGGAGGACCAATTAAGATGATCCGCCCTCAGAGACGGATGGATCCGGAGGGTTTTCTGAGGTCCCTGAAGGATTGTTCAGCCATTATGGCAAATAGTTCTGTAGATACCCTAGTCAATACATGGAACACCGAGGTAGCCAGGACAGTTGATATGACTGCTCCTAAGCGCCCTCTTCGGACCAGTCGAGCCAAGTTTGCTCCCTGGTTTTCTAGGGAGTGATAGCAGCAAAACAGTCTGTGCGACGGCTAGAACACCGCTGGAGGAGAACTAGAGCTGAGTCTGATCAGCTGTGGATTAGAGCTGAACTGCGAGCTTACTCTGTGGCGGTGCTGACAGCGAAGAAAAGCTACCTCTCCACCCGTTTTGCATCCACACAATGCCGTCCAGCGGAATTGTTTCGAGTAGTGCAGGGCCTGTTGCAGTCTCGCACTCATGACGAAATAGAGGAGCCTTTGGCCCCTGGCTACAATCTGTTTGCAAAGCATTTTGCTAATAAGATCGCCCACATCCGGTTGGATTTAGACTCTGGTTGCTGTGTAAGTGGGGCACAGAATGTGTTGAGTGCACCACCCAGTCTTTTTTCTCTGGATCAGTTTCAGCTATTGCAGACTGAGGATGTGGACAGGGTGCTTGGAGGAGTGCAACCAACCACGTGCTCACTTGAACCCTGCCCTTCATGGCTTATTAAATCTAGCCAGGGAGGGATAACTGCCTGGGTCTTGGGGATTATTAATGCATCTTTTATATCTGGTATGGTTCCTGCTGCCTTGAAAGAGGCAGTGATAAAACCACTACTCAAGAAGATCTCCCTGGACCACATGACAAATAACTATCGCCCAATTGCTAATATTCCCTTTTTGGGCAAGGTACTCGAGAGGGCAGTGGCGTTGCAACTCCAAGCTTTCTTGAAAGAAACAGACTACTTAGATCCATTTCAGTCTGGCTTTAGGCCTGGTTTTGGAACTGAAACAGCCTTGGTCGCCCTGGTAGACAATTTACGCCAGGAGATAGACAAGGGGAGTGCATCCCTGTTGATTCTCCTAGACCTCTCAGCAGCTTTTGATACCATTGACCATGATATCCTTCTGAGACGCTCGGCAGAGTTGGGTATTGGAGGCACTGTTTTGCAATGGTTCCGGTCCTACTTGTCAGGATGCTTTCAGAAGGTGGAGCTAGGGGGCTGCTATTCGACCATGTGGTGATTGTGCTATGGGATCCCGCAAGGTTCCATCTTGTCCCCTATGCTGTTTAATATCTACATAAAGCTGCTGGGAGAGCTCATAAGGAGTTTTGGAGGACGGTGCCATCAATATGCAAATGACAACCAGCTCTATTTTCCTGTGACATTAGAACCAGGTGTGGCAATGACTGATATAAATCGGTGTCTGGAGGTAGTGATGGTTTGGATGAAGTCAAATAAGCTGAAGTTGAACCCAGATAAGACTGAGGTCCGGTGGATCAGGAGGCCATCTGTGCGTGAATGTGGCATGGCACCTGTTCTAGACAGGGTTACTCTCCCCCTGAAAGAACAGGTACGCAGCTTGGGAGTCCTCCTGGAACCTTTCTTAACATTGGAAAATCAGATTTCTTCAGTGGCCAGGAGCGCCTTCGGGCAACTTCGTTTAATCCGCCAGCTGTGACCCTTACTGAACAAACATGACTTGGTCACAGTGATCCATGCTCTTGTTACATCCTGACTGGATTACTGTAGTGCACTTTATGTAGGGCTGTCTCTAAAGAGCCTTTGGAAACTTCAACTGGTCCAGAATGCGGCTGCTCGAGGTTTAAACAACACTAGTTATACGGAGCACATTATGCCAGTGCTTCAGCAGCTGCACTGTATATTTCCGGGCACAATTTAAGGTTTTAGTTATGACCTATAAAGCCTTAAATGAGTTGGATCCAGTGTATCTGAAGGACCGTCTTCTCCCATACGAACCTGTCCAGGGATTGAGGTCAGCTGGAGAGGCTTTGCTTCGTGTTCCTCCACTTGTGAAGATAAGATTAACATCTACACAGAACAGGGCATTCTCAGCTTTTGCTCCCAGGCTGTGGAATTCTCTTCCTCGGGATATACGCATGGTGCCAACGCTAGCGTTGTTCCGGCGTCAGGCTAAAGCCACCCTTTTTACTTGTGCTTTTATTAATGTTTGAGTCTGTATGTGTGTGTCCCTCCTCTCTATATGTTTTTAAGCTCGTTATGTCCCTCTGAAGTCTCATATTTTAAATTCTCATATTTTAAATTTTTATATATATATTTGTATTTTGTTTGTTTGTCTGTTCTTGTAAGCCGCCTTGAATATTTTAAATAGAAAGGTGGGATACACATATTTAAATAAAATAAATAATAATAAAACCATAAACACCAAAATTACAGTAGTTTTATGATATAGTCCAAATTCATTAATTTTTTAAAAATAAATTCCAAAGAAACCACAATAAATTAAAGATGTGATATATAAGCTTTATACAAGTAAACTTCACATTTTAATTTTTTTTTCTTTTTCTGATATCAGTTTGTAAAGTTTAACAGGTTAATAAGAGAAAACAATCTACACAAAACACAAGGGGTGACAGAGGTCTTTTAATACCATACACTGTTTATTACATACCTTACAGATAAGGACTTTCAGTGTAGGATGTCTATAGATTGAATCCTTTTGAAAATGGTTCACCTGTTGCCCACAGGCTGTACAGCTTACAATTCCATGCAGTCCTTCCTCTATAGAGGATTATAAACCACATATTAGGTTTGTTTTTTTAAAGAAACGTGTAAACAACGAATGTGTTTCCTTCTTAAAACATTTTAGTTTGTCAAATTTTTGTTTATCTGAAAACCCACTCCAAAGCTATACCACGCATCTTTAAAGGAAGCCTTCTATTTCACTGATGTCTTTTAAAGGCTAATTAAAAGGTTGTTGGTCACTATCTACTTTCTGGATAAAATTCACCCAGGGGAAAGAAAACCTTCCTTTGTGACATTATGCATGTGGATTAAACTGTTATTTTATGAGGGCATATCTGACTTGCCAATAAAAACACATTTAATCATGGTTCTACATTGTACATTAAAATCCCACAACTTTCAGTTATTCTTCATAAAATACTACTGCAGTTCATAAACATACATTTTAACTATATTTCTTTCCAATTTTTTAATTAATTTTTGAATGAGAAATAAGAAAAACAAGTCTATGAAACAAGTTAAAAACATAAGAATCCTTTTTGATGTCATCTGAAACTCTTGCATTATGTAGTCTCAAAATAGATTAAGACAATTCTTTGAAGCAATTGTACAAGACCTCCAGACCATTCTGGTCAAAACACTGTTCTGGAAGTCCACATTATCTCGTCACCTTCAAACATTGTCTGTATTTAAAATGATAGTTTGACAAAATACTCCTACACTGGGAGTAGCAACTGCTCCAGTTTTCCAGTTGGTTTAATCCTGTTTACTGTGGTAGGACTTCCACCTGCAGTGGGGTCTTTTAGAACAAACTGTTGAATTTGACATTTTTTATTCTTACTTAAAAGCAGTAACACTACCATGAAAAATGGGAAGCCACCTGAGAAACCTCACAGTCACTGTTTTAAGCTGGTATCAAACAGTAAAGAAGGAGAAGGCTGCCAGGTGCTTTATCTCAACTGCAGTATGCCTGCATCATCAGCTCAGGAGGCTGTAATTCCAAGAATGAGACTTTGTTCAAAGCCTTTAAAATACACATAGAATCAAGCAAATACCAAAAAGAGTTCAGGAACCTACTGAACTTTTCCAAAGTGACATACAAACCATTAGCAAAGATTCAGAGATTTTGAAAATGAAAACAGATACTTAAAAGGACTGAGAACCTATTAGGCTTAAGTAAAGAGAAATAAACTTTACAAAGCAAGAGGAAAATAACAAATCCCTCATTCAGAGCCAGAAATATTCAGCTGCTGGGTACAAAGAGGATTAACTGACTTGAGAAAAGAGATTTACTCACCTCGTACAGTAACTACTGTTCTTCGAGGTGTATGTCCCAGTGGGAGCTCCACGCAAGGTGTAGGGATGTCCCGGAGCCATGGAGAGGAGCTTTTTCTAAGCAGTGACTGCAAGTTCCTCTTCTCCATTCAAGTAATTAGGACTCCGAATAAAGGGTAGAGAGGGTCATGGAGCACCCACGGGGACATACACCTCCAAGTACACTCGTTACTCACCTCATGAAGTAACTCCCTTTTCTTCTTCAGGTGATTTCCCCATGGGTGCTCCACAGAAGGGGACTAGCAAGCAGTATCCAACAGGATGGTGGGAATCAGAGTCACTGCTGAGAGACTGCAGATAACACCACCACAGTCAGTGCTGAATCAGCAGCCAATTGTGGCATAATGGCGTAATGCCTAGAGAAAGTATGGTCTGAGAACCAGGTGGCTGCCCTGTAGAAGCCTTTAAGTGGTATGTTGGTAAGGAAGCCCATGGAGGTTGGAGCTGCACAAGCAGTGTGTGCCTTCCATAGAATCATAGAACTGGAAGAGACCTCAGAAGGTCATCAAGTCCAGCCCCCTGCTCTAGGCAGGACCAATTCCAACTAAATCAACCCAGCCAAGGCTTTGTCAAGCCGAGACTTAAACATCTCTAGGGATGGAGACTCCACTACTTAGACTCCACTACTTCTCTAGGTAACCCATTCCAGTGCTTCACCACCCTCCTAGTGAAATAGTTTTTCCTAATATCCAACCTGGACCTCTCCCACCACAACTTGAGACCACTGCTCCTTGTTCTGCCATCTGTCACTACTGAGAACTGCCTCTTTGAAACCTCCCTTCAAAGTCCCCTTCGTCCTTCAAATGAGTTTGCAAGGGCTTGTTGCTGAGGGCATAGCAACGTAGTATGCAGGATGAGACCCATTTGGAAATACATTGCATTGAGATAGGCGTGCCCTTTGCGTGTGGTTCATATCCACTGTACGAGCGTGAAGATTTATGGAATGACCATCTTCTGTCTATATAGAAGGTCAATAGCCAAGTGTGTGGAACATGGCAATCCTGTGATCGGATGCATGAGGGTTTGGAAAGAATGCTGGTAGCACTATAGGTTTGTTGATGTGGAAGGACGTGAACATTTTGGGTAAAAATGTTGGGTGTGGGCATAACGTAACTTTGTCCTTAGTGAAGACTGTATACGACATCTACCAGGACAGCCCCTATTTCATCAACCCTCCCTGCGGAAGTGATGGCTGTAAGGAATAGCACCTTCATTAGTAAAAACTGAAGTGGGCAAGTGGGTCAAGATTTCGAAAGGAGGTCTCATGAGACAGTCTAAGACAAGATTTAGATCCCACGTAGGAGGAAAGGACAAAAAAAGGTTTTGGAGACCCTTCAGAAATCTTCTCATTGTGGGGTGTGCAAATAGATGAGCCATCTATGCGTTCATGAAGACCTGATGTCGCTGTAACGTGTACCTTCACAGAGGGACCTGATAGACCCCCGGTTTTAAGATAATGTAGATACTTGTGAATCTGAAGGAGCAGTGCGGTGCAAGGATCCACGTGGGACAAGTGACACCAGGCTGAAAATCTTTTCCATTTTTGTATGTAGGTAGCTCTGGTGGATGGCCTTCTGCTCTGTAGGAGGATTGCTTTTACATGATCTGAACATAGGAATTCCATTCTCTGGAACCAGAGAGGAGCCACACGTGAAGTGTCTGTGGTTGGAGGTGGAATAATCTGCCTCTGTTGTGAGATAGATGTCATGACAGGATGGGAGAGGATATGGCATGACCACAGACACTGGGTGCAGAAATGGGAACCAGGTCTGTCTGGCCCATGATGGTGATGATAGTATGACTAGAGCTTTGTCCATCTGGATTTTGTGTAGAACTTTGGGTATGAATGGAATAGGCAGGAAGGCATAGTGCAGTGGCTCATTCCAACAGATGAGGAAAGCATTGCCCTGAGATCCCTTGCCTAGACCAGCTCTCGAGCAAAACCGAGGACACTTGGTATTGTTGGGAGACATGAAGAGGCCTATAGTTGGGACTCCCAAGCAGTAAAAAATGGAGATGAGTATGGCAGGGTGTAATTCCCATTCGTGGTCAGAACTGAAATTGCAGCTCAAGGCATCCGCCCAAACATTGTTTATTTCAGGTAACTATGAGGCCTTCAGGATGATACCATGATAGATGCACCAATTCCAAAGGCAGATCGCTCTGGCACACAGTGACAGGGAGTGCGCTCCTCCAAGTCTATGTAAAACATGGTTGTCATGTTGTCGGTAAGTATGTGAACAGTCTGGTCAGCAATGAGGGGAAGGAAATGATTGCACGTATTCATCAGTGCCTTGAGCTCAAGAAGGTTGATATGTAGTGAGGAGTTGTGTGTTGACCCCCTGCCCTATACAGCGTGTTGAAGGATATATGAGCTGGGATGTACAAGGGAGGCGTCTGTGATGATCTGCTTGGATGGTTCAGGCTGGTTGAAGGGGACGCCTGTTAGAAGGTTGGTGGGAATTGTCCACCATATAAATGAGTCCAGCACCTTCTCTGGGAGCATGACCTGTTTGTTCGGGGGGAGGGAGGGCCAGGCCTGTAAACTGACACTATCCAGTGTTGTAGGGCTCTGAAGTGAGCATATTGCATGACGTAGGCAGTAGCAGACATGTGACCCATTATTTGGAGGCAGGTAAGAACCGTAGTGGTAGGAGTGGCTAGTAATATCGTCACGAGGTTGCATAGTGCCAAAAACTGATGAAGCGGGAGATAAGCTCTGGCTGTCAACAAATGGAGGTGGGTCCCAATTAACTCTATTCCCTGTGTGGGTAGCAGGATCAATTTTTGCTCATTTATTAGGAGGCCCAGACAGTTGAATGGTGTTAGAGATCATGTCAGCAGCAGCCCTGATATCGGCCTTTTATAAGACTTTTATAAGACAGTCGTCTAATTATGAGATGATGACGATGCCATGTTGACGCAGATAGGCTGTGACTATGGCCAGGACCTTTGACAAGACCATGGGGGCTGGTGATAGGCCAAGGGGAGGACTCTGTATTGGTAGTGGTCGTCTCCCACAGTAAATCGAAGGTACTGTCTGTGTGATAGGTGTATGGCGATGTGAAAGTATGCATCCAGAAAGTCAAGGGCTGCGAACCAGTCCCCTTTGTCCAAATCTGGTATAATTGATGTCAGTGTCACCATTCTGAAGCGTTGTTTCCGCTGATATTTTTTCAGTTTGCTTAGATCTAGTATGGGTCTTCATCCACCTGTGTGCTTTTGTCAGGAAGTATTTGGAATAGAATCCTCTCCCACAAAAGGGTTGGGGGACCCTCTCTATTTCTCAGATTTCCTGTCTGAGAAGCATCTCGTGAGAGGGGTTCCTGAAGAGGGACGAGGAAGGGGGATGGGCAGGGGGAAGCGATGTAAAGGGAATGGTGTATCCTATGCAGATGATCTCCAAGACCCATTGATCTGAAGTTATGACATCCCACTGATGGTAAAAGGGATAGAGTCTGTTGGTGAAGAGATGGTACTGGTTTGTTGGCAGAGGTAGAAGTGGGAGGTCGGGCAGGCCCCCGACCAAATCCTCAAACCTGCTGTTCTGTTGCCTGGGAGCCCAAGGAGCGGGTTGGAGATGGGTGTCTCCTCTGAGGGAGTTGTCTAACGTGACTGTAGTCATACTGTCTTTGCTGGACATGGTTGTAGTGGCTGTCCCTATTTTTGTTGTATGGGATATAATGCCTTTGACGGTATGG